GCCCTGGACTTACCACCCAGATTCATGCGCCAGAACAGCTCGCATCGTTAGTTGCACAGAAAGAGGGCCATTCACAACTCAAACCTTACCGAACTACCCCTGTTGCGGTGTTGCCGTCCAGTGCGCAGCCACCAGAAACTCCAAACACAGAAGGCTCAGACGCATCGAACGTCACATGCTACCAGGCGCAAGAACCACTCATAGTGAGCCGCGAAGAAGAAGCCCCTGATGAACTATCTGTCAACTCTGAATGTTTTTTGTCGCAAGAGTTCATTTCCACGGCACCGCAGACATGCCAAAATTTGCATTTTAAACCTGGTGATGCGACGTCACATGTCGTACTCTCATGCAGTGGTCACCAATCCAAGATTCGGACCAACTCAGAAGCAAATCATACATCAAACCTCGTACGCAGTTGTTTTTCAGACGCGTCCGTAATCAACCACGTCACAGAAGCCTCTGAAGAGCAGGCTAGCAATGATGGCGCACCACCAACCATGCCAGATAATCAAGAAACCTGTTCACCATGCATCAGCTGTCTACAGGACGCGTCAAACCTCAAAGTAAATGAATGTCCCATGCCGGAAGGCTTGCCACTACAGCCATCTCCTGAGCAGCATCAGCAAAGCAAGCATAGCCAAGCGCGCAACCTCATGCGACAACAAAATAGACTGCAACGAAGGCATCGACGAACGCGAAATTCAACGGAAGCACACTCACCAATTGAAGAACAGCGGAAAATAAGATCTCTAACCCAAAAAGTATTCCAAGACGTCAAATTTTCTCGCACAGAGGAAAGTCACCAGAGACGCTCTCTGCGTCTGCGGTTACACAGACAACACCACGGAACGCCCAGAAAGACGCGGAAGCACTTCTTGCACGCCACCAGCACACAGGCATCTAGCCGTCACGATCTCTCAAGAAGCACGCATTCTAGATACAATGCGTCTGTCGCAGCCACGACTCGAAATCCGACGCATTAGACGTCCAACCTTTCAATGCTACAAGGACTCCCAACCTTGTTCGTTTTTCGCTACTATCCAGGCTGTGTCATCACCATTTTCCACGTCGAATGGAGGGTTATGCTCTCCAGAACGCAACAGCCAACCTCGCCCACCTGAGGTCTCCTAGATGTCACTGGACTGCCTTCCCTGTGAAGATTTTTGTGCAAGTGCATGGAACTGCCGTGTTACACGGAACTACTCTATTTTGTGATATTTTTTCCTATGATGACACACCACTTGTTCATGCTTCATAGTTTTTAGCTCGCGCATTCTTTCGGGGGGAGGGGGAATCATGTGACGTATGAAGGTAGCGATGGTTGGTAGAAGCCGAGAAGGAAGAAGTGCTTATAGAATAAACATGGAGTATGAGCCGGGCCACGTCGCCCATTCATTATAGCGTTACACGTCTGTCGCCTCCAGCCCGGTTACGACCCTCCTGTTCTCTCGTCACCTTGAGTCGCCAGGATGGGTCGTCTTCGCCGCCCAGGCATCGTAGTGGGGAATTCGCAAGGCAATGACTAGTGGGACCATCGCTGAGTGCGAAGCGCGAGCGGGTGCACGAGCTGTAGACGCTGGACTGCCCAAGCATTTGTTTCCATACCGGCTGTCTGTCTATTACCTGGCGTCGCTATTGAACCCCCTTGCAATATATATATATATATATATATAAGAGAAACAAGTGTACACTTAAGGGCTCGTTTTTCGTGTTTACAGAATATAATGAGATCTAACAGACAATAATAGGCCGTGGGAAGAATCCGAACCTGCGACCTTCGAATAACGCGTTCGATGCTCTACCGCTGAGCTACCGCGACAGCTATCCCCCCAGCCACTTTATTGGGTATCTATGTCAATTTAAACGTGGGAGTGTAAGTCAGCGCCACTAGTAGCCATGGCGGCGAGTGTGGCACACTCTTTATCAGCCTGTTTGGCGTCAAGTAGAATGTGAACTTATTACTAACTGGCAGCTGACCAAATAGTCCCTCGTATACAACCTAAAGGCATCAAGTCTGCCAGTACGAGACCCTCGTTAATAAATGAGAGAAACAAGTGTATACTTAAGAGCTCGTTTTCCGTGTTTACACAATAATTATGAGATATAACAGACAATAATGCCAAGGAAGGTATAGGGGAAGTTATTAGGTCAATTGTAATGTAAATGAGAAGAAAGAAAAGTGGGTGAAAAGATAACTTGCCGTAGGCAGGATCCAAACCTGCGACCTTCGAATAACGCTTTCGATGGTCTACCACCGAGCTACCGCCGAGGCTACCCTCCTAGTTCCTTTATTGGGTATATATGTGAATTTAAACGTGGGAGGGTCAATCAGCGCCATTAGTACCCACGGTGGCAAGTGTGGCACACTCTTTATGAGACTGTTTGGCGTCACGTAGCACGTGAACTTAATACTAATTGGCAGCTGACCAATAGTACCTCGTATACAACTTGACGCATTAAGTCTGCCGGTACGAGACCCTCGGTAATGAATAAGAGAAAGAACTGTATATTTTAGGGCTCGTTTTTCGGTGTTTCTGACACAATATAATTAGATGTAACAGAATATATATATATGTGTGTGTGTGTGTGTGTGTGTGTGTTATCTGCTTATGAAATGCAATATTTTCATGACAAAAGTCAGCGCCCTATGTATGGGCGTGGAGTGCACTTCACTGTTCGAGCCCAGTCGCCCACATAAAGGTGTCCTCTCCGCATTGCGATGCGCAAATTTTTCCTCTGCCAGCTGAAGTTTGCCCTACAATTTGTTGTGTTTGGTGCGCGTGCTATTAGACCGTTATAGTTTACCAGGGCTAGCGGAGTAGTGGGCTTACCAAGATATCGGTACTGAAGTGCGCGTCCGCAGTAGTGTACGTGAACCGTACCGCTTACCGTGCGCATGGTATTTTTCAGATTTAACGTTACCATGTTTGCTTGGTTTACGTAGTGTATTCGAAACATGACGACCATTTTGAACGCCCTTTCGGAAACAATTTTTATGTAGTTTTTTGAAAGACCCATTTCTTTCACAGCAAACGGAAGTTTAAAATGACTTTGCTTTTCTTTAGTTAGCTTCGATGACCGAGTATTACAGATGAGCTAGCGTAGTTATAAGATAGCTTCCCATTTCGAACGTCTGTAGGCGTAACTAGAAGATTGGTGTAAACATAACAGGCAACATAATAATTTGTGTGTTTGGGAGGTGTTTCACAGTTATTTATTTTATTATTACTTTAAAAAAGCTTGTAACATCGCTTCGTGTCATTACACAGCAAGGCACTCATTTTTTTCGTTTTCTCGGTTCCTTCACTTATTCAACCTCTGATAGGTAGCGCCACTGTCCGCGCTAGGGAAGGTAAACCACGTAAAGCTATTCCGCTACACTAAAAGGGGCTGTAGGCAACGTACTTTTGTGACAATGTCACGCTAATATTCAAATGGCTAAGTCCGGCAGTTTTTCGAGGTCAATGGATCTGAATCAAGTTCACTTTGGTACGTCCATTTGCACGTTTGCGCCATTTATGCCAAATTACAAGCTTTAGAGTTTCGAATTCTATTCAAATGAATGTTATACCTTGCCTCGAAACGCTCACATCGCTTGGCAGAATTATTTGCAACTCTGTGCGTGTGGCTTTGAGTTTTACTTGGCGAAAGAGACGGAACTAATGTGCAACTCCAGCGTCTGTTAGTTTTCCATGGATTGTGTGGATTGGACGGGTGCTTCTTTGGTTAAGCGTGCAGTTTCGTTTTTCGTGTTGGTTGGCGTGCAACAGGTGGCAAGTGGTGTTGCGTTATGTGCTACGCGTCATTCGACGTATAATCACCATAACAGCGTAAGCGTTTTCGCCTATCGTGGTAGATGGCATTAGAGTTACTGTATATGCTACCTTTAGGTAGCAGAATGCGCTTTTGACAGAACTCGCCGCTCGCGCCATCATTCTCCGAGTGCGCTCACGTGCGAAAAAATCGTCCGTTTAAGGGAAATCCAACTTGATGGCCGCACCGGTACTGGTGACCGCAGCGCCACCAGTGCTACAACTGCACCGTCAAGCCGTCCGTCCGGCGAAGCGGTTCGGCTAGCACAGTGTGAACTGTTCGTCGGTGTTGCGGTGCTGTTTCTTGCTGTCAGTGTAAGTTTTTTGTAAGCGAGAGTTTTTGTAAGCGAGAGTTGTAAGCGAGAGTCAGTAAGTTTTTTGTAAGCGCCAACCCATAAGCAGCAACTTTATTTTTCGCGGGGGTAGGGGGCTGACTTGCTGAAGACCATTAAAACACTCATTTCTTTGAGTCATTTTCAGAAACATTCATGTACCCAGAGTTTCGGCAAAAAACCCCGTCCCTTCTCTTTACCTATGGGCCAGTGTCAGTGCCGTGTTTTAATGAGCGTACACTGAGAGAGTACATGGAGCCGCTGAGCTGCGTAGGCTCCTACATCCCACAGGGGTGGCTTTCCTGCTTATCATGGACGCGCCAGTGGGAAAGATAGCGGAACTAAGCGCAACTCAGCTACCCACGGTAGCATATACAGTAACTCTGGATGGCATTGACAGATAGTGTCATCTGGCGAACGTTGTGCGCAATCAGGCAGCTTCGAGAAATGATTGCGTCACACGTAGAAGCACACTCGGTTGGGTCTCGGTTTCGTCATTGCAGTTTTTTTGTAATAAAACATATTTTCGTACTTGTATATTGTTTCAGTGATTGGACGCATGCCAAGAGTGTCTCAGGAACATAAAAACATCATTATCCTGACATGGTCAAAAAATCACCAGAGTTGACATTCAGCCGTCCAACTTGTTTCCAGCAGAAAACTTTTCATGTTGATTTACTTTATTTGCTTGACCCTTCAGCCTCCCGTTTGATCTTAAGTACCTGCAAACCTGCATCTTAAGCAAGACGTGTTCACTCTGTAAATAAATTGATCCATCCAGCTTGGAAGGTAAATTCTGCTTCATTTGTTATGCACTGAAAACTGAATCTTCCTTCGATGTGTCTTTATTTTTCAGACCGCAAGGAACATTGCATCAACAATCGATCACGTAATGAATGTCAACAGAACAGCACTCCAGCAGTCTCGTTCTGGCAACTCGACAAATAGGTACGTGGCACCGTACGTGGCATCAGTAATGCAGCTTTAAAAAATCAGGTTGTGTAGTTGCTGCGCATATTTTCGCTATCACAATCTTGTGTCACAATGCTAGTGCTCACTGAAAAACTATGACTGGCATTTTTTTATTTATCTCAATATACCGCAGGCCTCGGTTCAAGCAGGAGTGGCAGTACATGAAGTGGATACAATTATGTCGAAAGTGACGAACACATTCCAGAGAAACAGTTCGATATAAGATGGCAAGTTAACAACAGTTTCAAAGATACCGTGTTTAGATAACGTACGAGTACCAAACAGGAAAAATCTAATACACTGATGAGAAAAAAAATACTCCTGATATTTTAGCAAGAAATTCTAACGTTTTATTGTTTACCGCAGACGATGGTAGACTAATCCAGTATGCTATTTTTGATGGCAAAAAAGTTTCTATAAATGTCGTTATGACTTTCAAGCCTCTTATTATTTTGTTGTGATTAGCTCTGGAGCAGTGCCTGGGGTGCTTTGGCGCGCCAGCGGACGCGGGCTGTGGCCCAAAGAACAAGTCAGAGCCGAGAGTTGATAAACAAACAAAATTATATTCTCAATAATGGCAGATCGAAAACAGTACACAAGTATGCACACTCCACAATAGTTGAGTACAATATGTCACCAATCAAACAACGTACTACACAGTACAATCAGCCACACTCGAAACAACGGACACAGATAACGATACGCACTACAATGCAGTCGCATGCACTGAACAACCAAGACACTTAAAGACTAAAGAGATAGAAATCCTATTCAGTCCAAAGTTCTTGGAACAAAAGTGTTGATAATACTCTTCCGAAAATCACTCACTCAAAGTCCAGCGTTGTTGTCGTTCCACTGCCCCCGAAGTTTCTCTTCCAGGAAACCTCGCGTCGGTTGTCGTTCCGCTGCCCCCGAAGTTTCTCTTCCAGGAAACCTCGCGTCGGTTGTCGTTCCGCTGCCCCCGAAGTTTCTCTTCCAGGAAACCTCGCCTCTTCAAGTGCTCCCGAAGTTTCTCTTCCAGGAAACCTCGCGTCTTCAAGTGCTCCCGAAATTTCTCTTCCAGGAAACTGCGCGTCTTCAATTGGCCACTCTCCAAGTTTCAAACTTCTTCGCCGGAAACACGTCGGCTTCACGCACGCAGCGGTTGCCACGCGTCTTCGCTCAATAGCGGTAAACACACATTCTTGCCTGTAGCTCGAGTCGTCACCCCTCAGGTGGAAATCCTCTTCTTCTCCTGCTTTGTCACTAACGGACAAAACCTTCGCCGCCTACACGGCGGAATACCCTACGCGCTCTGGCGCTAACTTCCGTCTTCTCCTGATCTCTCATCTCCGCTGCTCGGTTAAATACCTTCCGCGCGACATTCCAGAAAGTTTTCATAATTTCTTCGGCGGGATACGCAGCGAAGGCTGGGGAGAGGGCGAGATGGTTCGAAGGCCGTTCGCGACGAATGACTCAACCCAGCATCTCCACGCCCCTTTCCATCTAGAAAGTTCGAGTGCTTGCTCGACCGCCGATGTGAGGTGAGGAGGTTCGTCGGTGAACCTACACTTCCAAGGTGAGAGGGAGCGTGCCCGGGGAGTCTTTGGATACTTGTTGTCTTTTTCTTTTTCTTTTATCGTTGACTTCGCGGCGTCACTCCGGCGTTTCGTCGCGAGAATTTAGCGGCGCGCCCTTTTTTGAGCGCTCGTTTTGTGACACTGCCCCCCACTTTAAAAATATTATCTCATAATATTCAAAACCACACAAACAAGCGCGAACAGTTCCCACACTCCCAAAGACTATAACAAAGTCCATCGCTCATGAACCGTCACATTCACAATAGATCACTCTATTCAATTGTACATAGTAATTCAATCTGACACACATGAAATATAACCACCAGTACATGAGTACAACACTCCATCACATATTCCAGACAATACAAATGTACAAAGTCCTCTCATTACATCACCGTAACAAATATTTTGACTCACTCGACATACAGTTGTGACACAGGATAACAACCACATTAACTTAACATAAAGCACTGTCAAACACATTCCGGATCGACCTCGACACCTATCCTGTGCATTTCGAGCGGCGCTTGCGCCCTTTCTTGCGGTGCTTTCTCGATCTCTTCTTATTGTTTTTCCTCGTTTTGTTCCGGCGAGCCCCTTCCAATGACGGTATTTGAGGCGGCGTCTCAGCCATCGTTGTCACTTCCGACAACGTTAACGGGTCGAAACGTTCAACCGATCCGGTGACCCGCTTGTTCATGTCACAACATTGGGCCTGGTCGGCCGACTCCTTTACCTTCACACTGCCGGTCGGTTGAGGTCGTGCCGACTTAAGTCCCGCTGCCCAGCACGTGAACTCATTCAACACTATCGTCTTCTCATTCACTGTCTTTTGCACCGCGGCTTCAACTTGGGCTCGAGTGAGATCAGTCACGAGATGCTCTTCCACTGTATCTCGCGGTCGCTGGGTTGGCGAGGGCTTCATCTTCGGGTCTTCTCCCAATCGTTCTGGATCATTCGGCCCTCGCGCCCCGTCGATGTTTCCAATGACGAGGTCGGAGAGGCGGTTCGTCATGCATAGAGCAGTAACCTTTCCGCTGAAGTAAAGAGTTTTAACCTCAATTTCTGCTTCGGGAGGCATCCGAACCGTACGGTCAATTAGGCAAACTGGTTTAGTTTTGCCTGTTAACTCACATTCCCGTACCGAATTTCTCCGCATGATAACCGTGGAGCTACCGGTGTCTCTTAGAACCGTAATCTTCTTGCCGGCAACCTTTCCAGGCAGCGTTGGCATTCCCATCGTAACACAGGTGGGCTGTTTTGACAATACAGCACCCACAATAGGAATTTTCTCCCCATTTTCCAACTCTACAAATCCGTCGGTGACGGCATTATCATCAGATTTCGGTGCTGCTAGCACACAGGGTACCTGATAAGTTTGACTCGCTCCGTTACGGCATGCGTCTGCTTTGTGCCAATTTTGCCCACACTTGAAACATTTCACTACCGTAGGGCTCGTAAAGTTAGTACGACAGCTGTTCGCGCGATGACCCACTCGGTTACACAGAAAACATCGCGGAACACTCTCCGGTGCACGCTTCTTTTGTTCGGGTGCCGAATTTTTTTAATCTTCAGGACACTCCTTCTTGACCTTGGCCAAATTAGTGCCACCTTGCGCTTCCAAGAATTGGTCAGCTAATTCAAGCGTGTCTTCAAGTGACTTAGCTCTCCTCTCTTTCAAGTACAGCGACAGGCTTGGGTGGCAACTAGTAAGAAATTGTTCTCTAATTAGGAGCTCTCTAAGCTCATTGTACTCCTGTGCTGTCCCTGAAAGTTCAATCCTTCTGTCGAAATAATGGCAAAGTGGGGCGGCATACTGCGTAGCTGTCTCACCATCAGCTGGCTTTCCCGTCCGACATCTGTCCCGGAATCCTTCGACAGTAAATCTAAATCGCTTCAGCAAAGCAGTTTTCACCTTTGCATAGTTGGCTGCATCAGTCGGCGTCAGCCTACCGTATACACTGAGCGCTTCACCACTCAAGCAGGTACTCAAAGCAGTTGCCCATTGATGTTCCGGCCAATTTTGGCTCCTTGCAATCGTCTCAAATCGGTGGAGGTACGCGTGAAGGTCGTCCTTCCTTTCATCAAACGCTACGAGCAGCTTGCTTGGGTTCAAGCGGAAGCCATGATCTTCCCGTTCGCTGCTTTCAACTCTAGCTTGGACGGAAGTTTCACTTCGCTGTTGCAAACGGAGCCGCTTGAGTTCCATCTCGTGCTGCCACTGCCGTTCCCTTTCCTCTCTTTCTTCTTTCAGCTGTCGCTCCTTTGCCTCTCTTTCTTCTCTCGCCCTCTCAGCGGCCAGCTTTTCTTTCTCCAGCTCCAACTTCAATTGCTGCTCTCTTTCATCTTTCAGCTGTCGCTCCTTCGCCTCTCTTTCTTCTTTCAGCTGTCGCTCATTTGCCTCTCTTTCTTCTTTCTCTCTCTCAGCTGCCAACCTGTCTCGCTCCAACTCAGCTGCTTTTTCTTCCTTGGCTTTCTCAGCTGTCAACCTCTCTCTCTCCACCGCCTCTTTCTCCTTCTGGCTTACCCACTTCCGTAGTTCGGCGCCAGAAAGACCCATCTTCTCACCAAGAGCTACTAACTTTTCGAGATTCATTGTGCCTCGCAAATGCAGTCTTGCCGCGTGTAAAAAGTGTCTGCCTAAATCAGTCTATCGAAACACTCCCCTGCACTCGTTAACGAGAACTTTGAGCAACACAGAAAATTGTTCCGATAGCACAATCAACAACTCGAGGCTCTTTCTCACTACTTTGGGCACACTGTGCACCACAAGGTCCTCGTCGCGGACGCCAGAATAATGGTCACAGGTCCCGTTAATTAGGGAGGCGATCGCCAAGCTAATTCCAAGGGCCGAAGTATTGGCCCTCGAACCGCACCACGAAAGCGTAGACAATTTAGAAGTGGTCCTTTTTGGCGCGCCAACGGACGCCAGCTGTGGCCCAAAGAACAAGTCAGAGCCGAGAGTTGATAAACAAACAAAATTATATTCTCAATAATGTCAGATCAAAAACTATACACAAGTATGCACACTCCACAATAGTTGAGTACAATATGTCACCAATCAAACAACGTACTACACAGTATAATCAGCCACACTCGAAACAACGGACACAGACAACAATACGCACTACAATGCAGTCGCATGCATTGAACAACCAAGACACTTAAAGACTAAAGAGATAGAAAACCTATTCAGTCCAAAGTTTTTGGAACAAAAGTGTGGATGATATTCTTCCGAGAATCACTCACTCAAAGTTCAGCGTTGTTGTCGTTCCGCTGCCCCCGAACTTTCTCTTCCAGGAAACCTCGCGTCCATTGTCGTTCCGCTGCCCCCGAAGTTTCTCTTCCAGGAAACCTCGCGTGTTCAAGTGCTCCCGAAGTTTGTCTTCCAGGAAACCTAGCGTCTTCAAGTGCTCC